CCGGAACGATTGCTTCCTTCGGCCAGCTCACCAACGACTTCGAGCTCCACTTCGTAGCCTATGCACGGCCAAAACCCTCCGCGGCACTGCTCCTCAGATTCAAACAAAGAGAGGATGAGCCCCTCTCACATTTTGTGGATCGCTTTGCCACGCAAATCCGGGGCTTACCGGATACTCACCCCTCTCTGTTAGTTTAGGCGTTTGTGATAGGCTTGCGACCTTCCAAATTCCTCTGGTCCCTCGCGGAGTGACCTCCCACTACGGTGCCAGAGATGCTACAGCGGGCTAACCGGTACATCGCAACCGAGGCCTGGGCGACCGTGAGGAGAAGGGACGACCTCCGATCGCGGGCTCCATAAGAGAGGCCAAGCACCCGCGGTGGCTACCCGATGTGGTCCTCATGAAAATAAATCTATGCTCCGCCTCAGTCTCTTTTGAGCAAAGGTTCAATATCTACCTGACCCCCTCTCGACTCGCGATTGGCCCCGGCTTAAACCCTTCTGACTCTACACGGCTCGGTCGTAGACTACCTGAGTCTACCTCAGCGCGGCTTGCCCGCCTGAGCCGTGTCCCTTGGCTTGAGTAGTATCCTTGCCGAGTCCACCTCAGCGCGGCCTGAGTCACGTCCCTCGGACATAGACTACCTGAGTCTACCTCAGCGCGGCTTGCCCGCTTGAGCCGTGTCCCTCGGCTTGAGCAGTGTCCCTGCCCAAGTCCACCTTAGCGTAGCCTGCCCGCCTGGGTCGTAGACTGCCCGAGTCCACCTCAGCGCGGCCTGCCCGCCTGAGTCGTGTCTCTCGACCGTAAACTATCGAGTCCACCTCAGCGCGGCTTGCCCGCCTAAGCCGTGTCCCTCAGCTTGAGCAGTGTCCATGCCCGAGTCCACCTCAGTGCAGCCTACCCGCCTGAGTCGTGCCCCTCGGCCATAGACTGCCGAGTCCACCTCAGGGCGGCCTGCCCGCCTGAGCCGTGTCCCTCGCCTTGAGCAGTGTCCCTGCCCGAGTCCACCTCAGCGCGGCTTGCCCGCCTGAGCCGTGTCCCTCGGCTCGAGCAGTGTCCTTGCCGAGTCCACCTCAGCGCGGCCTGAGTCACGTCCCTCGGACATAGACTACCTGAGTCTACCTCAACGCGGCTTGCCCGCCTGAGCCGTGTCCCTCGACTTGAGCAGTGTCCCTGCCCGAGTCCACCTCAGCGCGGCTTGCCCACCTGAGCCGTTTCCCTCGGCTTGAGTAGTGTCCTTGCCGAGTCCACCTCAGTGCAGCTTGCCCGCCTGAGCCGTGTCCCTCGGCTTGAGCAGTGTCCCTGCCCGAGTCCACCTCAGCGCGGCCTGCCCTCCTAAGTTGTGTCCCTCGGCCCGAGCCACTTCCCTCGGCTGTAGACGGCGAGCCCATCTCAGGGCGGCTTGCCCGCTTGAGTCGTGTCTCTCGGCCCGAGCCACGCCCCTCGACCATATATCGCTCGAGTCTACCTCAGCGCGGCCTGCCCGCCTGAATCAAATCCTTCGGCCTTTGCCATATCCCTCGGCCGTAGACTACCGAGCTCCCCTCAGGGCGGCCTTCCCGTCCGAACCACATCCCTCGGTCATAGATTGCCGAGCCCCCCTTAGGGTGGCCTACTGCTCGAGACCACGCCTGCGTGGCCTGCCCGCCTGCGTCGTGCTCCTCAACCGCATGATGCCTGAGACCACACCTGCGCGTCCTGCCCCGCTTGCTTCGTGCTCCTCGGCCCCATGCTCCCCGAGACATGTTAGGATCAAGCACTAAGAGGGGGGGGTGGGGGTGTGGGGGGTGAATTAGTGCAGCGGAAAACTTTCGACGATTAAAAAGGTGTTCGTACAATAAAAACGATTTCGGTAGAAAAGCCGATTCGTAAATCTCTTTAACTTATAATCAAGCGAGATGTAATTAAAGGAAATCTATGAAGGCAGTTTGCAGTTATGATGAAAGTTAAAATGTAAGCGCAAACTGAAATATGATGTTCGTATGATAAAATTGATTTACGTCTAAACGTCGATTCGGAAAATACTGAACTTTAAAACACGATCGTAAATGTGCAGAAGGCAGTAAGCTATTGAGGAGGTTTGCAGTAAGGATAAGATGCTCAAAGTAAATGCAAACCGAGATTTAGAGTGGTTCAGTCAATCTTGACCTACATCCACTTTTGGCTTCCTCCACCGACGAGATCACCAACGTCTACTAAAAGCCTTCCTTCAATAGGCGAAGGCCAACCACCCTTTTACAGTTTCACTCCTTTTGATGGGCTTAGGAGACAACCCTTACAGAATTTTCTCTCCTCTCTTTAAAGATCAGAACTTGGAAGAAAAGAGGGAGAAGAACTTTTGGCCTTTACAACAATTTTGAGCTCTAAAAATCACAGAATAAGATCAGGATTTCAGTGTGTTTTTGGTGCTCTTTCAGTGCTGAAAGGGTGGGGTATTTATAAGCCCCAACCCAGTTTAAATTTCGAGCTCAAAACTGTCAATTCCCGGAATTCCGGGATCTGGCGGTTGCACCTCCTGACTGAGGCGGTTGCACCGCCTGGTAGAGCTCGAAGACTGAGCCTCTGGGCGGTGCCACCTCCTGTCAGGGGCGGTTGCACCTCATGCTAGAGCTCGAAGACCGAGCTCAGGCGGTGCCACCGCCTGACTAAGGCGGTTGCACCTCCTGCCAGAGCTCGAAGACCGAGCTCAGGTGGTGCCACCTCCTGTCAGGGGCGGTTACACCACCCAATCTCGCTCGGAGACTGAGTCCAGGCAGTGCCACCGCCTGACTGGGGCGGTTCAACCGCCTGGCAGAAATCAGGGTCCGAATGGGTTGATCCATTCGGCCCAATTTGGGTTTTTCAGGGGCCCAATTGCCCCAAGATTAAGTTAATGGGATCACCTCCCATTTCCAACTTAATCATTATGCTAACTACGATATTTCCTAAGACATTTACTGCAACTTGCTCCGGTGCGTCAATCGCTTCTTCCGGCGAGCTTCCGATGAACTTCCGTCGATCATCCGATGAACCCTCGGTGATGCTACTGCGGACTTGCGACGATCCACTTGGCGAGTTCCGACGAGCTTCTTTGGCAAGCTCATGGACTTCTCGGATTTGTTCCCGCAGAACCTCTGACAACTGTCCGAACTTCCGTTGAACTCTCGAACTCCCAACGTGATCATTGTCTTGATTCTGGTGCAACTCCAGCTGCATATCTTACTTTCATCGTAGTTAATCATGCACACTTATCTCAACATATAAATTATATAACAAATGACAATTAACTTCATCATCAAAATCCGAGATTCAACAAGACACACCTGCGCGGCCAGCCCGCCTGCGTCGTGCTCCTCGGCCCCATGCTCCCCGAGACACACCGGACCGACCCGATCGGACCATCGCACCGGACCGACCCCGCGGGCTCGAGGGACGCCCCAGAGAGATCCGCGACGTCCGGACCCGAACCAAGTCGTGTCGGCCCCGAGGCCATGGCTCACGGCTATTTCCCACAACAAGGAGAGTGATGACGAGAGACGAGGATAGTTGTTTTGCACCAGTATTGACACCAACGTAGTTGTTAAGCAACATTGATTGGGATATACATCGATGATATTTCATTACTCGGCAATTATGTATCGATGCAAATACAAATATAAAATGACTCTCATCTCTCAACGTCGCTCTCCTCATTCACAACAATCACTTGTAACCTATAAGTGATATTGTTGTCCGTCATCACTGACATCATCCTTTACCATCAATTAAAATATTAAATTTTAGTTTTATATTTGTATTGATAAAATAGATTATGCTAGGATAAATAAATCTAGATATTTTATTTTTATAACTATATAAATATTAATACATTTTTTTTAAAAAAAAATTATAAATATTAAATGTAACTAACTATACGACTAATAAATTAGCTCCTCTCATCTTCATCAACTCAATGTTTGACCACTAGAAGCGATGATGGGACTCATCCACCAATTATCGTGGAAAGTGGTCCTCAGTAGACGGTGACATGTTGCGTTCCAAGTGTGGTTACAAAACGTGCACCGTGGTCCGCTTTCTGCCCTTTACTGATTCATCGCTATCAAGACGCGACACATGTTAGTAGGTGTTCGTGACCATCCCATCTTTATCGAGACACAACACGTGGGGAGTGCGCATAGCCTTCCATCGGAGACATCATACCTCCTATCAATTCGAATTCCACCACTGCACCGGCGAAGATATGAATGTTAGGTGATATATATATAAAGCAGGTTGATAATTGAACTCATCAATCTTTTACTAGTTTTCCGTAAATGCATTAATCTCATTTTAATCAGTAAATTAAATTATTTTTAATAACAAGATAAGATTTGACCGGTAGATAAAGATAAATTATTATTTTTAAATAAATAAAAAATTTTGATATTATCATCAAACGGTCAAAGTCTTAACTAACGGAACTAATTATTGTTCTCATTTTGAATATCTTTTAATAGAATTCATTATATATATATATATCATTAAATAGAAGACAGACAGCAACAGACGAGTATCGTCTTGTTCGATGAAATGTCGAGAATACTAACAGGGCTGACGCTGCTCGTGGTTTCCCCCACTATTTCCTACTTATTGAGGATAATTGACGTCTTTTAGTTTGCGCAGCACATAGACGAGAAGCTTCGCCAAGAATAAGAAGAAGAAGAGAAAGGAAGCTTTGATGTCCGACAGCTGCTGCTGCCACGGCCATTGCTGCGGCCTCGACGCCACACGATTGCATCTCGTCCTCCAGAGGCTCAACCCCTTAACTTGTTTATATAGGCTCGCGGACGGACAGGGAGAGGGAGGAGGGATGGGCACCATCACAGTCCCAGCTTCTCTTCCTTCCCCGGAAGATGACGGCCACAAGCTGCGGAAGGCCTTCCGAGGTATCTATACAGACATCCATGGTTCTTTTCTGAGGGTTTGCGTGATCGGTTTTGTTTTTGACGGACGACAACAGGGTGGGGGACGGACGAGAAGGCAATCATAGACGTCCTGGGCCACCGCACTGCGGCGCAGCGGTCGGCCATCGCCGCCGCTTACGCCAGCCTTTACAGTGAGTCGCTGCTCGATCGCCTCCACTCCGAGCTCTCCGGTGACTTCAGGGTAACTCTTCCTCTTGTTCAGATTAGTATGCAATTGGTTGAAGAGGATCGAGGAGTGAAATCATCAGTTAGCTAAGTGTTGCTACAGAACGCAGTGATGCTATGGACCATGGACCCTGCAGAGAGAGATGCCAAATTGGTGAACAAGGCACTGAAGAGGAAGGGCGAGAGGCATCTCTGGGTGATCATAGAGGTCGCCTGTGCCTCATCCCCGGACCATCTGATCGCTGTTAGGCAGCAATATTGCTCTCTCTTCGCTTCCTCCCTCGAAGAAGATGTGGCTCATAAGATTACCCCAACGGAGCCCCTCGGACTGGTAATGCTCCTCGACATCATCATCATCGGTATCGGAAGCAGCAGCAGTAATCTTTCATTCCTGCAGCTGTTGGTGCGTCTGCTTACCTCTTACCGGTATCCCGAGGAGCACGTCGCCGTCGAACTGGCAAAGCATGAGGCAGCTCAGCTCTTCGATGCGGTCCAAAAGAAGCAGTTGCATCAGGACGAAGTCATCCGCGTACTCAGCACGAGGAACAAATCGCAGTTGAAGGAAACCTTCGAGCAGTACAACGAAGGTTATGGAAGACACATTGAAGAGGTCGGTACAGATGATGCTGCTTGATTACGTTCTGAAAGATCGATTCATCCAACACTATGCAACACAGGACATCGAGGGCGCCGATCGAAGTCAGTTCGCGTCGATGCTGAAGGCTGCCATTTGGTGCATAGCGTCCCCGGAGAAACACTTTGCAGAGGTACGCAGACCAAAGAATGGCACGCAAACAAATGTGATCCTGTTTCCATGACGGCGAAGAGATGGTTGCTGGTGGTGTGCAGGTGGTGAGGAGATCGGTGGTGGGACTCGGAACGGACGAGGACTCGCTGACGAGAGCCGTGGTGAGTCGGGCAGAAATCGACATGAAGAAGGTGAAGGAGGAATACAAGAAGAGATACAACACCACGCTCATTTATGATGTAGTGGACGACACCTCGGGGGACTACATGAGGTTCTTGCTGACCTTGATCGGCCCTGCGGATGCATGAAATAGCAATCAACCGATGGTTTCAGGTTCAGAGAAATGTGAAGGTATGTGAAGATGTGTGTATATTTATAAGGTGAAAGCATATATGGCTTGTGGAATGAACAACATAAACAATTTTTGGACATGGAATAAAGATTTGGCATGGTGGGTTGGATTTCGCAAATTAGTAAAATAATCTTAGGAAGATAAATTGAGCAAACAAGTCAGGAAGTAAAAGCATTCAAAGTTCAGCTGATGCAAGAAGACACAAAGGCAATCTGCTTGCAAAGATAAGTAGTAATGGCTACAAAGCTCTCTGGTCATGAGTAGAGCATGTTCACAGAGTCCCCACTCTCCTGATACATATGCCTTTTATTACTGCAATTACAACTTCTAATACAAATTAAACTAGGAACCTGATGCCAAAGAGGTACTGAACATATCACAGAGAAAGTAGATTATGTCGCTGGAGAATGGAAAGGGCCGACACAAAGGAGAGGACGAGCTACAGCACACATTACCTAAAAACCAGATTACATGGACAACAGATGAATCGAAGGAGCCAATCCTTAAACTTGAATGCCGATTCTTTGAGCAACCTGCAAAAGTAAGTCGAGTAATCAGACACCGAGCAGCAGTCGGAGCAAACGTTATAGTTTAGTTGAATCGATAAGCAAAGTGTAGTTATAATTCTTTTTCTACTGCAACTTTTTCGTCGTAAGCTAACAGCTTAAACACAATAACCATTTCAAACCATTTCCCAATTTAATGCCTCGTGAATTTTCAGCGGCCTTACCCATGTACATTGATATTATTTGTATTCAGTCAATATAACTGTAATTTATGCACACAACAGTAACCAATTATCTTCCATACATCGACAATGAAACTCCCAAGGTTTATGCATGTCATGATTTAATGATTAATTATACCTCATTGAAAGAGTGAACATCACTGCCCCATAACCATGCATCACAGCCTGCATCCCTAGCTCCCCATATGTCGTTCCTGCGATCATCACCCACATGAACTGCTTCCTCGGGTTTTACACCCAGTAACTCACATGCTTTAAGAAAGATAGTCGGGTTTGGCTTCTCAGCTGCTACCTGTTATAGCAATACTACACCTATAAGAAATTTGATATAACTGGCATTGACACTGTTGAGGTAGCAACATTTAGAGCAAAATAGATGAGGCTCAGAGGACCACGGGTTATCCGAATTGGTAATATTCAAGCCTCCAAGGCAGGAATACACTGCCTCCGAGTTATAAAATCCTTGTCCTAAAAGAACTTTTAGGAGTTTGCAATGACCACCCACAATCAGCCAAATTTCCATAAATAACAGAAAAGGCAGTTTTGTACCTCAGCAGACACTGCAACAGCATCGAACCAATGATCACACTTCAAAGCCTGCAAAAGAGGCCGTAAGCGGGTATCAAAGTTTGAGACTATAGCTGTTTTCACTCCAGCCTTTCTTAAAGCTCTGAAAGCATTTCCAGCATCAGGGTCACAGATATGCCAAGCCTGACAAACAAAATGATAACAAACATTAATTTCACTAAGCATCATACTAATATGTAGTGATCATAATGACATCCAATCGATTAATCAATCATACCTTCTCAGTTGTATAATATTTATAGAGTTCTTCAAAGTACTCCAAATTAGAACAGCCTGTAGAAGAGCTAACTATGTGTTGCCAAAAAGGCCTCCCATCATCCACATACCTGATAACAGGCACATAAAAAAGATGGACTTCAGAATCATGCACGGAAGACTTAAACGCAATACAGAAATAGGGAACAAGAGCATCTTTTCAATAGATGCATGCTTGATGAAGTTTGAGAATATCTTAAAACAGGTAAATAGGTAGTAAGATCATTTGGCATTACAACGTTATAATGGTCACAAAAAATGATGAGAGAAAAAAAAATCAGCATGTTCGGAAGCAGATTCGGATGTGTTAAACAGAGGAAAAGAAAGATCATCAGCTAAGTGAAGGTCACTAACTGCAACCATGTCTTTGGAAATCTTGCCAGTCTTGCATGTTGCAAGATTTAGATTTCTACCACAGGTTTGCCTACTTTAATGAGTTCTTAAACATAAGTACCAAAAAAATATATTTCTCGAATAAAATTTTTATCTTATCATGGTTCCTCGAAGAACCTGGTATTTCTTTTGTGAAAAATGTCATGCTCTCTCAGATTAAACATGAAACTTGGGAGATATTTGACAATGCAAGATTAGTAGAAAGATCAAGGCGCTATAAGAAACCCTTATGTTTAAATTCTGAGGTGAACAGGTCGAAGTAGATATTAGAAAGCAAATATGAAGAAACACAGAAGAAGAATAAGATCCTCTCAGATCCAAACGGAGGTGGTTCCTCGATCATGATTAGAGATGAAATTCATAACAAATCCATGCAAATTTGACCCGCAAAACAAGAACATCAAAGGATTTATCATGGGAAGACAAACCTCAGCCTTGATCTGCCCCAGGGTTGCTCATACGCCCATCGATACCGATTCAGTATCTCATTTTCAGAATACTTCACCCCGTATTTCTCCCCGATCTGTCTGTATATCTGAAACAAAGCAAAGTAGTGGATAAAGATGAAGGCCATTGCAAGTAAAACAGAATAATCTATCTGTCGTTTCCATATAGAACTAAAGCACAATGAAACAGAATTCCAAATCCAAATCCCAACAAAACAAGATCATATATCAATTAAAAAAGGGAACTTTTGGAAGTTTATGAAGATTTTGTAGTCTCCCTTCCCATGTGGAAGAGAGAAGAGCCAAACCTGAGCCATGGGCTGGGAGGGAGCAACGAGGGTGCCGACGGCGTCCACGAGAAGGGCCTTATGCGTGATCTCCCCGTACAAGGACCTCCGGTACTCGAGGTACTCGATTGCTCCGGCCAAATCCCAGCCTTGGTGGCCGGGTAACCGTCTCAGACCGCCTGGGATCCCGCCCTCCACCTCCACCGCCGCGGCCGCACCCGTCGAGTATTCCTGGCGGCGGCTATCGTCCTTGCGCCCAGAGGAGTGGAGATTCCGGCATGAAGATAAGGAAGTGGGCGAGAGTGCGGCTCCGCCTCGAACCCTCGCGCAAATTGCGACCGCCACCGTGAGGGAACCCTTGGTAGCCCTAGCCATCTTCCCTCCACTCTCCTCCTCCTCCTTCGCCAACAACTTGTTCACGCCCTCTGCCGCTGTTCTGCACCGCTCTGCTCGTCCTCTCCGCTCTCATCACAAGGAGAGGCCGCTCACTTTCTTCGGTCCAACGGAGAGAGAAAGAAGGGGGGCAGTGTTTTTATGCATATATACATACATATCATTCATATTGAAGTAAAACGAATCCTTTTTATTTTCCTTTTTCCCGCTTTTTCTAATTTTACCCAAATAAATTTATCTTCAAATAAATTTACATACATATCATTTATATGTATATCGTTTATTTCCTCATATAAATTTATGTTTTTAATAATACAAAATAATATTCCTCAAACCATAATCAGAGCTTCTTTTGACCCCCCCAAAAAAAAGAAAAGAAAGAAAATAGTGCAAAAAATTCAAAAAAAATGAAGCTAAAAAAATCATCAAATGCTAAGAAATTCTAAATAAATTTTTAGAATTATAATATATTTAAAGAAAATATTTCTAAAAATACAAGTATCACCACAAAACTCGAACGCCACAAAGATTCACATGCCTTCTTTAAGACAGTAATTAAATAATAATAATTCATTATTTTAAATATTAAATTTATCCTTTTTCCCATTGGATGCTCGCTAAATCTCAAGAAATCGTCGAGTTCGTGTGGCTTCATTTTCCAAAAAATTAAAATTAAAATTCTTTTAATCTTTTCCTATTAAAGATGGCCATATGCTTTTTTATCTTGCGGTGGATAATATACGCAATTACGGCAGAAATTATAAATAAATGAATAATTAGTCTTTCTAGAGAAAATACCAAAAATATTTTCTTCGCCGATAAGGGAATCTGCCACGTAGATAAATTAGAAAGACTAATTAGATGAACTCATGCATTAAATCTCCACTTAGTTCTGACGGTTTCCAAAGTCCTCATATCTCATGTAGAATTCAGATGAACTCTTTCGATCTCTTATTGTTTCCGCGCCTCTAATCCGTCGTGATCTAACATCTCGATAATCTCTACAAATCATCCCTTAGATCTCTCTCTCTCTCTCTCTCTCTCTCTCTCGGTGATTAGCAGCCCTGCGTTGATTCCATGCCTCAGATAACTGTCGGAGTGGGGCCGGTGGAACGGGCGCCACTCACCATTCCGTGGCCTCCAACGAAGCGCCGGTCGATGTACGCTTGTTCGCAGAATCCAACGCCGCCAACTTGTGGCTACCGTAGAGTCCAGAGGAAGGAGGAGGAGGAGGAGGTAACGACCGCAACTACAGCTGATTTGTGGTGGCTGTGAGAAGGCGGAGGAGGAGGTCCCAACTCAGGTATCTTTTGCTTGCTCCGTGCTGTTTCTTCTCGCAGCGACGTCTTCTCGGGGACCGGAGAGTTGCAGTCGAATGTGTGGAGTAGAAACGGAGCCTTTTGATGCCGCCACTTGGCTTGGATTTGTGGTGGAAGGCTTTTGTTTATGGATGCCAACAGCAGGTGGGAAGATTGACAGCGAGAGGGAACGAGAGAAAGAGAGAGTCTTTGTGCGTATCGTCTCCGTTGTGCCATTCGATAATGACATCCCCATGGAAGAATGATCTACATCGGTAAAATGCTGTCCGATCCTCTTCATCTTTTGATGTACATAAGTAAACTCGACCATCGGAGAGAAGGTCGAGTTTGAATCCGTTTATGTTTTCCTTGGTTTGAAGGGCTGACATGGAGGCATATCACCACAGCCGATGCATTAGGCTCCAGTCATGTTATGTCGTATCATGTTCTTGTAGACCAATCACTATCATCATCAGCATCCACGGAATTCAACTCATATTACGGTCATAACATGCATCATCCACCACAAATATTGTGTGTTCTCGTTTTGGTATTTGGATCCGCAACAGTGCTTATTTCTTGTTAGGGAAAAGTCATCTCCTAAAGGCTTAATTCGATATTAATCTTCAATACTTTACTTATCATTACTTTAAAAGCCTCTGCCACATGAGTCATTAGATCTTTAAAGAATCTTGGCTATCCTCAACAAAATCTTTCGTCTTCGCTTATTTCTAATCTCGATTTGGTGTTTTGAATCGACCATCACAGGCGGATTCCGTCAGATTTTTGGTGCCACCAAGTTATCGTAGGATCCTTCTGGAAACACAACTCACATCCAACGGGCAAAACTTACCTCGTCAACATCTTTCATTTAATTATTTGACCAAAAACAATTTAAGATAGAGGTTGAAGACGCATTCACTTACTATAAGATACGTGTGGGAGTTGGATTCGACTATACGTAGATGCGTTGACATATTCCCAGCTTTATCAGTGCGTGTGGAGTTGACAAACTTGCATCCTCGGTCGCCGCTGACCACCGACCCACTTGGATCCCAAAGCTGACCGGTCCAAGTCATCCACCCACCAACTCATCCCCATAAAACCCACCAACGGCGACGCTGCAACCGCGCACAGATCCGTAATGGCCAGAGCATTCCTGACCTGCTTCAGCCACAGCTCCCGCGACCTCGTCAAGCTGGTCCTCTGGGGCGGCGACACCAGGCTCTTGCCGGAGACGCTGCACGCCGGCGAGCTCATGATCCGCTTCCCGGGCCGCATTGTCTGCCACGCAAACTCCTTCTATATCGGCCTCCCCCTCCCGGTTCTATCCGCCGACGACGAGCTCCTCCCCGGCCAGACCTACTTCCTCCTCCCCCTCGACCGGTTCCGGCCTAACCAGGCTCTGACGGCAGCGACGCTGGCGTCGCTGTCTCCGTCGCCGACGAAGGTGTCGCTAGCCGGGGACGGGCAGTGTCCGTTCGCGTACGTGAAGGGCGGGGACGGGAGGAAGCTCATCAAGGTGGCCCCGGAGTTCATAGCCAGGGTCATCTCCTCGGGCGAAGATGGGAGAAAGAGCGGCGCCGGCGATGGTGGGACGTTATGTAGCACGCCCGAGTTGCAGAAGCACTATGCACAGCTCGTGGGGCGCAGGGGGCGGCCGTGGTCGCCGGCGCTGGAGACGATATCGGAGAGCAAGAGTAGGAGACCATCCAAAGTTAGGTTATCGCCAGCGAGGCTGTTGAGATTCGAGAAGAGATCGAGCTAAGCTTCCGTTTCACTCCTCTGCGAGTCGCAGTGGAGATTAGAAGGACAGCGAGGACACAAATTACAATGACTTCGAATTGTGAATGTAAAATATCAGAGAAAAGACCGTAAATTATGTGTACGAGCAAATGGATCGAGTTGTGCTTTGCATGCGTTGTGGTGCGTACATATTTTGAGCTCGTGACGGCGTTGCGGTGGTTGGAGCTGTGGTGTACTTGGCATTCGAAGTTACAGAGACGAGAATGGGAGACCGAGTCATATGGTCATACAAGCTTAGCTGGCTATACTTCGTTGGCGTTAACAAGATGCTGTGTTGACTATGATCATCGCAAAAGAGGCCTATGGAGATGCTTCTACGAGCTGTTTACAGCGTCATCCAAACCCATAGTTCACCAAGTTTTATGTTGACCTTAAATGACTTCATCAATGATTCTTAGTGGCAGTTGCCATAATTGACTCGGAACATAGAATTAGTAGAAAAATCGTATAGACATATTCTCATTATTGATATTATGATCAAAATATATAAAATAATTATTACTAGAAACATGACTTCCTAGTAGACTCAACCATGTAATCGACCCTAAATTGTTCCAGCTTATATTTATTGTATATATCACGTGATATATTCAGCTTGTTCATATACTACACAGAATAAGCTTCTCACATCAGAAGATGGACTCATAAATTAGTGAAGCCAAAATAAATCCATAAACAAATGTCAAAATCCACGATATTAAAATTTAGAAGCATTTTTAACAATAATGTGGCAAATTTTATGAGCTAATACTTCTACAAAATGATCAGATAGCGGATAACAAACTCAAGTCTGAAACAAATAAAGGCTCCTAGAATTGGAATACCGCAAATGCATATTGCTCATTCCTCGTCATCCTCATCACCGTCGCCACCGGCTGCCTTCTTTGCTGCAGCCTTTTGATTCTTTCTCTTCACCCTCCCGGGGCGCCCACCACCAAATGGACTTGTGAGAGAGAAGTCGATGTGCTTTGCAGAGTCCACCCTCACCATGAACGACGGGATGTTAACCACTTGCCTCCCGACTCTGCAAGGATGGTCGAGAGAGGTGCACAGACCAGTAAGTCAATTGCAGAAACAATAGGAGAAGGCAAGTCTAGAAACCAGCCTCTAACATTGCAGATGGTGCCTTTGACCACTTTGAGATTAAACCCTAACATCAAAGAATTGGACAAAAGGGCAAATCACAATGTCCATTAACACTCATCCAGTGCGCTGGCTGTCATTCAAATTAGAAGGTTCGATCAACTTCCAGATTTCCGAGCATCTCCATCTTACCATACAGCATACATCAATACAACACATTCATCCACTGGACCAGCTACCCTCTGCAAACCTTCAGAAATCCCCCTCTATCCTATATTTTCCTTGAAAGACATCTGAATAAACCTAAAGCAGGATGACATCAAGTTGATACTCATGAGACTTTGTCAATATTTTGCTGAGGCTTCTAAACTCTAAATTGTACAACACATCTTAACAATGGGCATGACTTGAACAGAGATGACGGTAAGACATGCATAAACTAACATCAAGAAATTATAATATTCTTCCGTGTTGCAACACAACATCAGCATTCAATTTTAATTTTTTAGGCATACTATATAAATCGATACCACAATTTCATGATTACACAAACTGCCCTTTATATGTTTCTAGGCAATCCGTCTCTTGCTTAAATTTTCTTGCAAGGCATTGGGCATCAACACAATGATGTCAAGTTGATAGTCGTGACTCCAAACGTTATCAATTTTCTGCTAAACCTTCCAAACTTTTGCTTCGACTTGACAGTTTAACTAGGGACATGTTTGCACAACAATGATGATGACACTTTCACGGACTACCTCATGAATCCATAGTATTCATCGACATCATTACACAAAGCACCACTACAGCTTTGGTTCTTTAGTCCACCAATGATTAACTAGCATCTAATCCATGGTGAACAAGGGACTAGGGAGAACCTATAATTGTCAGCCAATTGGGTCTCAGGTTAATTATAAACTTCTTTTCTCACTCATAAGAACAGAATAGATGCTAATGCGACAATTTCTGACTAGCAACAATCAAACTAAATAGATATAAAGATGACAAAATAAGTATCGTAACGTGCTGCAGGAAAGCATACCACAGGAGTCCTAAAGTTCCAACACTCACAACCGGAGAACAAGCAATCTGTGTCAAAAAGCCTATTTTGGAGGTTATGATTCGAATTGGTCCTCAAACAATATTGCTATAGGGCTATTAAACTTAAGCACCACTAAAGGGAGTTTAGGCAAGCTGGTAAAAGACAGACATACATACATCTAGATGATGCAGTGTCTATTAGTGACTGCATAGATCCCATCTCACATGACTGCTAATAACAACTACAAGTTTTTTGTAACATGCCCAAATATCTCATCAAACGCAATACGATTAATTTAATCCAGCATTCCGAAGACAACATATTGTTGGTTATCGGCAAGCATAGGTCAATATAATCATGTTAAAAAAAAATCATGAATCATGATAGGTCATAGACAGACCAGCAAATATGTATGGAAATGGTTTTGGTTACTGCCTCAAATAACGTATATACCTGATGTGGCGCTGCCTGATCAGGACTCTGGCATGGTGGATGGACTTCGCCATCCCCGACTTGAAGACAAGAGTCTGCAGACGGCGCTCCAGGAAGTTCTCTACTGTGAGAGCCAGGACGTAATCGAGCTTGTTCTGGCCTTCCTCGAGCAGCCCATAGCGGTTCATCCGGCGGAGGAGGGCCTCTCCCTCAAAAATCCGACGAGGGTTCTTCTCGTCGAGCGTGAGAAGATCCCTTGCAGCATTACGAATTCGGCTCAGCGCGTACTGGACCCTCCAGAGCTCCCGCTTGCAGCGGAGCCCATACTCACCCACCAGCTTCAGCTCCGCATCGAGCCGCTCCTTCTCGTAGGGACGACGGGGCTTCTTAAAAGTCTTCCCATCTGCAAAGACCCCAATTTAGCCAGGGTTAGCAGATCCAATTCATAATCACGCTACCATAATAAGAATTGTACATCGTAAAATCCAAATCAATTTTGAGAAAAGAAACGAACTCAGGGTGGCAATAATCATCAGGTAAACCATAAACCCTAGAAAGAATTGCATCCATTTGAGGACCGAACAACAAGAAAGTTAAGGATCGATAAATTTTTCGAAGATCAAGGGACTCCAGGGCGAAAAAGGACAAGTACGACATACAATTCCTGTAGAAACTGACGTGAACCATGGTTGGTTCCCCTCCAGAGCCGCCTCTGGCGCTCGATCGATTCAAAGATATCCGGAGGGAGGCGGCGATGGCCCTTATATGTAAAATTCCACAACCCTAACCCTAAGCGCGGGACGACACATACGGGTCTCTGATCCGCAACCGCTCGTTTCGGGTTTTGGGCCTTTTGGGCCTGCGAGCTGAATATTTGCATCTAAGCCCTCGAACTATTTATATTCTCAAATACGGTACACCAAAGACGATGCTTGCGTACTTCAAATATCTACTCACATACACATCCGTCCTTTTTATTTTCAATATATATATATATATATATATATATATATATATATATATATATATATATATATATATATATATATATATATATATGTTGAATCTCGGATTTTGATGATATAATCAATTGATGGGTTAATTGATCTAATCCATATTATTGAGTTAAATGTGCA